GGTGAGGCGGGCATCAGAGAGGATCTTGGAGACTTCTTCGATGGTAGTAAGGTCAAAGGTGCGGAGTGTTGGGGGAGCTTCAGTATGAGGAATGTAGGGTGGGGTGGGAGAGGAGGTCAGAGCAGTGGTGGGGGCCGTGGGAGAGGGGTGTAGAGGGGTAGCTGAGTGAGGGGGAAGGGGGTTGGAGGGAGTTTGAGCAGCGACGAAGTCCCTGTGGGTTATGTCGAGGGGGAGGGGGGATGAGGGGGTAGCTGTGTGAGAGGGGACGGGTTGAGAAGGCGTGTGAGTTGCAGCAATGTCCTTGCGAATTGTGTCAATCTTGTTTTTGAAGTGATTGGCAATCTCAAGGGCAGTGAGTGAGGTGCTGGGTGGAGGTGGGGGGGTGGCGAGAGTAGAGAGTTGAAGGTGGAGAAGAGTCGGCGAGGATTGGAGGAGAGGGCCTTGATGAGGGTCAGGAAGTAGGCTTGTTTGGCAGTATGGAGGGAGGAGGTGTAGGTGTGGAAGGCAGATTTGTATCGGGTGAAGGCTTGTTGGGATTTGGTTTTGCGCCATAGGCGCTCCAGGGCACGACTGTGTTGTTTGAGGGTTTTGGTGTGATCAGTCTGCCAGGGCTGGAGCGGTCGGGGTCTGATGTTGCGTGTGGTTAAAGGCGCTAGTGAGTCAAGGGCGGTTGACAGCGCATTGTTGTAGGCGGTCATAGCCAAGTCGGGGCAGGACAGGGGGAGGATGCGGTCATGGAGTTGATCAACTGCGGAGTGGAGGGAGGCAGGGTTAAGGTTGCGGAGGTTACGGCTAGTAGTAGTGTGACATTTGGAAGGGTAGGCGTTGGAGGAAGAGGAGATAGAGAAAGTAATCAGGTTGTGGTCAGAGAGAGGGAAGGGGGTGTTAGTGAGGTTGTGGGGAGCGCAGCGGTTGGAGAAGACAAGATCAAGGATATTCCCGTCGGAGTGGGTGGTGGATTGTATGCACTGTGCAAGTGCAAAGGAGGAGGTTAAGTGGAGGAGATGGGTTGTCGAGGTTGACAGGGATGTTGAAATCCCCAAGGATGATAGTGGGTAGCTCAGAGGAGAGGAAGAAGGGTAGCCAGGAGGAGAAGTCTTCCAGGAAGCGGGGTATGGATCCAGGAGGCCGGTATATCACAGCAATCTTCAGGAGGGTTGGGGAATAGTCGGACGCAGTGGGCCTCGAAGGAGGAGAAGGATAGGGAGGGGGGGTTTGAGAGGACTCGGAAGGTGCTCAGCGGTGACAGGAGCAGGCCAACCCCACCACCTTTACGACCGTTGGGCCTGGGTGAGTGGGTCCAGGTGAGACCGCCGTAGGAGAGTGCAGCAGGGGAGGTAGAGTCAGTGGGCTGGATCCAGGTTTCCGTAATCGCCAGGAGGTTGAGGGAGCGGGAAACAAAGAGGTCGTGGATGGCGGTAAGCTTGTTGCACACCGATCGGGCGTTCAGGAGTGCACATGAAACCGGGGGAGAGATTTTAGGGAGCAGGGGGACAGATACTAAGTTGCGGGGGTTGCGGCAGGACGTGGAGGCGGGAGGGTTTTGTGCGGGTGGTGGAGGGCCAGGATTCGGGGAGATGTCCCCCGCGGTTATGAGGAGGAGAAGGGTGAGAAAGGTGGCATGGGAGCGGGATGTGCAGGAGCGTGAGAAACTACTAGTGGAGGTGTTGGGGTCAGTTGGAGAGTGGAGTAATAGGAGGAGGTGGTGGGTGCCATAGAGGGGTGAGGGAAGCAGTGAGGGCACAATATACAAATGTTTGGGAGGAGCAGAGGGATATAGTGAATGGATTTTGGGAACAGAGGAGAGGAAAATGAGAAGGAGGAGTGGAAGAGGCATTTTGGGGAGGTGATGAAAGCAATAGTAGGGAGATGATAGCAATGAGGGGGAGATGTACAAGTTTTGGGGTGGAGCAGAGGGGTAAAGAAATGAGATTTGTGAACAGAGGATAGTAATATGAAGAGCAGAAGAGGGGTGTATTATATAAAAAGGTACACGGAGTGGGACTCAGGTATGTAAGAGATGTTTCCCAGGGTGTTTCCTTGCAGTCTGTCCAGCATGCAGTAGAGTTTCTTGCTGTTGATGTGTCTTCCTGCTGCTTAAGTTCAACTGCTGTGTTTAACTGCTCTGCACTCATTCAAAGCCGCACTCCATCATAAGCAGCACCCCCATCAGAGACTGTGCCCCCCATCAGAGATCTCCCCCATGAGCTGAACTAAATTTATAGGGAGATGCTCAAATGAGCATTCAACTCCGCCCCAATTAGAAGCTGATAAGGCTCACATGAATAGGGGGGGATGATTCTTAGGAACCAGGCCACAGTCATAAACCTGAGTGCGCCTAGAGGTGAGGACAAGTCAACAGATAAACAGATATAATTACAACATTTGGTGAGAATTTAACAGGAGTCAATGCGTTTGTCTGGTTAAGAGTGGAGGTAGCAGATAAATGCAGTTACCCAGGAAAGAACAGCAGGAGTCAATGCGTTTGTCTGGTTAAGAGTGGAGGTAGCAGATAAATGCAGTTACCTGTGAAAGTAGAGAAGGCATAATTAAAGTGCTGTGTTTAACTGCTCTGCACTCATTCAAAGCCGCACTCCATCATAAGCAGCACCCCCATCAGAGACTGTGCCCCCCATCAGCTGTAGCATTCATACAAAATAAGGAAACCACATACTTGTAACAGAAGTGTATAAGCACATAATATGGAGGAGGGTATTATATTATTCTTCTATTTTTAAAAGTTCTTACATTCATCTTTCCCACTAGGGCACACACAACTTATCATGCGATGATCACAACCAAACATCACCAACGAGAGTGAGAAATAAAGGAAGAAAAAAAGAAAAAAAAAAAGAAGAGTAAGTGCACTGAACAAGCAGTAGTAAAAGTATACCTTATGACAATGAGCTCTGCAAGTCAATACACGGACATAAATATTATTAGAAGTCCCATAACATTTTATTTTGTTATACATTTCTTATATAATTCTCTTACATAAACATTTCTCTTATTATTATTATTATTACTAAACGACGCACAGGGGAAATTAAAATGTAGGTTTATGGTCACTTTGATTTCAATTCGTCACTGCTATTTAGCTACACTGTTAGTGAGCAGACATTTGTAAGTGTCTACGTATTCATTCAATAAACTTATGTTAAAAAAAATAGATTGCTTTTGCTGACCTCTCCTTTTAAAAATACTAACTGTGATGTGATTCTGAACCCCTAGCTTTAATACCTTGATTCACGGACTCAGAACAAGTATGCAGATTGGAAGTTATGACTTGTTCCAAGTCCGTAATCAGAGTATGATCAGAGGACTTGTTTTTATGGTAGACATTAAATGTAGCCCATTACTGGAATATCTTGTGGAGACTGAGGTTAATAGGCAAGAACAGGCACTAGAAGATGGTAGAACATACGATACATTTGCCAAAATGCTGCTCCAATACTCCGGTACCCCACAAATACAGAGTATTATTTATATAGCATCAACAATTTATGCAGCAATATATATATATATATATATATATATATATATATATATATATAAAATTTAAACATTTTTGCACATTCACATAAGTCCCTGCCCTCGAGGAGCTTACAATCTAAGCTCCCTATCTCACATGCATACATACACATACTACAGTTTTTTTTATTATGTAACGCTTAAGTCCAGTGTGTATTGTATTGTGGGATGAACCAAGATCTGCAAACTCAGTAATGGTGTACAGGTTACTGGGGCCTCGTAAAGCAGACTTTTATCAAGCCAATGGTAATTTCAGACACTTTGTGGTGACTGGTATCACCTAGTAATGCCATGTTGTGCAACAGTTTCTACATTTCGACCTTACAACTACCCAAATCAGACACTGCTGGGTGATTTAATGTCTGTACGAAACCCTTAGACACCTTTGTCAGCTGTAAACAAAACAGGGTAATGTATGTTGTCCCATCACTATCTTTTTCTCCTAAAAAGAAAGCCAATCATGATTGCTCATACCTTCCACTACTCTGTCACATATGCTAAACAGCATCTGGCTGAATCCTAGGGTGACATGACCAGCCTCTAGTATCTACAAATCTGTGTACCCCAGGACCCCCTGAAGTCATGCACCCAACTCCTAGGTGTACTTCCCTTACCCACAACAAAATGTATACTGGCAAATATCATCATCTGTCACAACTCATAAAGACAAGACAATATGTATGTATGTGTCTGTCTGTCTGCCTACACAGGCCCTCTGCCTTACCACTCTTTCTACTCCATAGCATAGCACTGGGAAGGGGGTCTGGGAAATCCTTCCACGCAGACATGCCAGTGTTTTCCTACAGCTCAAATCCTGGGTTCAGGGACCGTCCAGGGTGTGCAAAGATAGCTCTATCCTGGGTTCAGGGACCGTCCAGGTCCCAACTCTAATCCTGGGTTCAGAGATTGTCCAGGGTGTGCAAAGATAGCTCTAAAATTACCTAAAACGGTATGTAGTAAAAATAAGAGAAAAGTGGAGATGGCTTTAATTGTATGGCTCTAAGGAAGAAAAAAAATACACTTTCAGAGGCACCTTGACAGCATGGGTTTTACATGTACCTGCAGATGCACGTGACTGTGATCGTCTCTCTTCTATAGGAACTTTAGAAATGGGTGGTAAATTAATACCCTTTTGTTGGGGGGCCATTTCTGTGAACTTGTAATGAAGTGCCCCTCCCACACGCACCTTCTTTGCTAGTTATAAACTGATCAAGCTGTTTCTCTCTCTTTTGTTACACACTTAGATAAATAAGCTCAAGACTGTTCTACATAACTTTGCTGTACAGTGAGGTTAAAACAGGGTTATGCTTTGTAGACCAATCAAGAGAAAGGAGATCAGAAGGGAAATCCTAGGTCTGGAGATGGGGTGTGTTAGGGTAATCCCTTGTCTGTATCTAAAAGAGTGTAGCAGAGTCCTTCTAGATCCAGGGAATGGGAGCGGAGGGAGCTGCGGAGTGCTGTCTGCGGGGTTAGGAGATCTGACATCCACTGTCCTTCTGTGGTTTTATGTCAGGCTCCTTGATTGGCTTTACCTCCTCTTCTTTCTTGGGTTTAGCCTGGAAAAATAATAAAAAAAAAAATACTGAATGTCAGTACAGCATCTAAGAACATCACATTTTAAGCAACCTAAAAAAAAAAATTAAACTGCTGAAAAAAGGTGCAACTACCAAGAGGGACATACATTCAACAGACTGCAAGTTACTGCCACTACTGCCAAATCGCAGGTGTTTTGATTTTCAAAGCTTCAGTTCTTCTTGTGTCAAAGCTTGCCTGCCCCATCCTTCCACCTGAACATTACTAGTGGCTAGTTGACAAGTCGTAGTGATAGACCAATAAGAATGTGTAGGAGTTGGGTCACTTAAATACATAATAGTGACTTTGGTATCAGTGAGTGAGTGTTGTCATCTTCAGACTGGATGTATATTACTGGCAGGTTCACCAGATGAAAATACAAAAAGCCCAAGGCCTCATGCACACAGGACGTTTCAAAAACGCTCCCCCTCTTGGCAGCTTGTCAAAGTGTTTAATGCTTTTACAGGCGTTTAGGCGCATTTACAGGCGTCAAGTAATTGAGTGTTAATTCATTTAATTGGCCAGAATAATAATTTATTCTGGCCACTGAAATGAATGAATGCTGAAGCGCTAAATGCATCTAGCATTAACATGCATGTAGATGTGTTTACACATGTCAAGAGGTTTTTCTACCAAAATGGTGCTGCTCCTGGACGCACTGGCCCTGAGTTTTTATTTCCTGCTGGTAAACGCTACTGCAACTAAAAGCTTCTAAAAATCTGTGTGTGCATGGACACATCGCATAACATGGAGGGCCATTTGGAAGTTGTAAAAAAAACACCTGGCACCCCTAAAAGGGTTGCAAAAATGCCCTGTGTGCATGAGGCCTAAAAAATTATAACTAGTGCAGTCACCACATCTATAGTCTGGTAAGCTGCAATAAACAGAATTATGTTTTGTTCTTGGGTTTAGATACACTTTAAGAGCATTAATATGTAGGACATACCACAATCAAAATAAAATCATAGCAATGTCCACTAGAACACTTCAGGGAGAGAAATACATTGGGGAAGACATAAGGAGAAATTCTTACACCATCATCTTTTGGCCTTTTGGTCAGGTCGAAGCCGGCTTGTGTCTCTGGGGTCCACAGCGGGCTCATTGCAGGGAATTCGAATGGCACAGGTTCCACCAGGCCATAATTGGCCTTTAGCTCCATTTCCGGTAACTCTGTTGGGACCTTCTGGAAATAGCTGTGTGGAAGCGGCATATCGTTAGTATAAAATAATAAACTATAAAGAGTGATAAATACAGAAATTAACAGCCACAGAGCCAAAAGTGCCCATTTGTTAAACCCCGAATTATTACATCACCTTTTTTTTCCATAGTAAACGCCAACTTGAACAGTTTTGCCTGCTTTTAAAGGCTGCTCCCGGCAATTTATTTATTTTATCCTTATTTTGGTAGGGAAAAAAAAATCTAATGATATTCACTCAAGCAGGCAGGCTTCAAACTACAAATCCCCTCCACCTGCTAAATTAAACAAAGTTTTTGCTAATAAATGTGCAACCTTATCCTTAAAGCTGTCTGTAGACAATAATAATCTGCCTCCCCCCACTGTTGAGCCTCTCAGAATACAAGAATAGCAACAAGCTAGGGGAAATCAGGCTCAGCTGATCAATCCCCCCCTTCCCACGAGGAAGGCTCAGTTAGGCTGGCCATACACTATACAATTTTCTGTCCAATTTCCTTTAGATCTACCTTCAACTATGTAGTACAATTGGATACCACTGAAAGTGTTGTATAGATTTGACCTCATATTATATGGTTTTTGGTAAATCAAAGCAAAGTTCTCAATAAAATTGTATAATGTATGGCCAGCCTTAGGGATGTCTGCTGTGTTTGGGTGGGGTCTAGTGACATGAGCATTCCCCAATCCAAATGCAAAAAGATGGACTGGGAACCAGACAGCCATACTGAGCGTGCTTCAGACTCTAAAACTGGAGAGTGCAAAATCAGCTTTCAGGTTTTACTGTCAAAGCTTAACTGAACAAAATCTTCCCCTCTGTCTCTGTCTATGAAGAATCATGAAATCCAGGAGTACCCATCTGTCCAGATTACTCCTGCACAATTAATCTAAGCCCTGATGAAGAGTGATTTGTGTATGACCCCCTGAAAGGTGATGGCTGTTATCTCTTGAAAAACTCTTTTAATATGACAAATAAAAAATTCTGTCTGGACCAATCATTGCAGGCTTTGTGCTCTCATCCTTTCACACGACTTCAATAGGCAAGTACCAATGTCTGTTACTTTACATATGGGAGGCCAAGACACAGAGAGGCGTACACAATGATTTAGTATGAAGGTTAGACTCAAGGTTATAGAAAGAGTTTGTGTCAGAGATAGATGTTAGGGTTACAGGGAATGGTAGTTATAATAAAGGCTGGAGGCTTGGAGGACAAAGGGAAGGCTAGTGTTAGGTTTGTAACAAAGGTTGGTCTGAGGTTTACAGACAGTGTTAGGAGGGCATTAGGGTAGGGCATCACCCTCTTCAGAAGGAGCCATGTGCCGAAAACTACCAGTGCTGACCATCCATTGCTAAAAGCCAGTTTACAAAATGATGTCTGTGAATATATAAAAAGGGAACCCATGAGGAAACACATATGAGAGGTGCTGTTGCTAACTTGGATTTTACAGATGCAGGCTCAGGGACTGTAGTTTTGGAAGTCTTTTTTTACCATTCTATCTACTTTTCAGCATTTTTGACTATTGCAGAGGACAAATGCAAATGAAAAGGCCAGTCCATCCAGAAATAATATTTTATTTATAGATGGAGTCTGGTGCCCCTGGCATTTTTATGTCTTAGCTACTCCAACAGTGAGATCTCCTCTGCTACAATTCCCAGTTCTGTTCCTGTTCACCTAGGAATTCCTGAGTCTATTCCTACCCACCTTTATGTGTTCCAACTCCTGCTGTTATATTCTCAGTAATTGCAAAACAAATAAAACAAAATAAGAAGGAATGGTGGGAACCGCTCCTAAGGGCCACAGCAGGTATGCAGACCCATAAGCTCAATGCAGAGATCTCAACAACAGATGAGACTGTTATGTGATTCAGCGCTTCAGCATTTATCAAAACGCAAATAAAATGGGATATTCCTTTAAGGACTGGGCAAACCATCAGCAAATTGTACAAAAAGACCACCATGAGACTCTGTAGCAAGTCATAACCGTTGGACTTGTCTTGGAAAGTCTACAAATCTAAGCTGTCCCCAGAATAGGAATAGAAAGGAAATCTTCCACTGAAGACATATACCGTATTTTTCGCTCCATAAGACGCACCTGACCATAAGACGCACCTAGGTTTTAGAGGCAGAAAACAGGAAAAAAAAAATTTCTGAACTAATGGACTGCAGACAGTACAGGGGATGACCAGAGACTGCGGACAGCACAGGGATGACCAGAGACTGCGGACAGCACAGGGATGACCAGAGACTGCGGACACAGTACAGGGATGACCAGAGACTGCGGACAGCACAGGGATGACCAGAGACTGCGGACAGCACAGGGATGACCAGAGACTGCGGACAGCACAGGGATGACCAGACTGCGGACAGCACAGGGATGACCAGAGACTGCGGACAGTACAGATGACTGCTGACCTTTGGGGAGGTGGGGAGCGGGTACCTGAATTTGACAGGTACCCGCTCTTACTTCCGCAGAGTTTTTGTTTGATCTTACCTGTTCCTCGATCCAGCCGCGCGCTGTCTTCCCGGCTTCTGTAATGGCGCTCGGCATGACAGCCGGGTGCCCAGTGCGCATGAGCGAGAAGCACTTACGCTTTGTGATTGGTCCAGCGGCTTCTGGGATCTGTCATGTGTCCCAGGTACTGCCTTACCATTCACAAAAAGCACCGCTTCTTGCGCATGCGCACTTGGCACCCGGCTGTCATGCCCAGTGCCCACACTACAGAAGCCGAAAGACAGCGCGCGGCTGGATAGAGGAACAGGTAAGATCAAAGAACAAAGACCCCACCTCCCCAAAGGTCAGCAGTCATCTCCATAAGGTCCCGCTGCAGAGCTGAGCGGCCCGCCCCGTATTCTGACACCGGACCGGCCGCTCCATATTCGCCCCATAAGACGCACTGACATTTTCCCCCCTTTTTTGGGGGGAAAAAAAGTGCGTCTTATGGAGCGAAAAATACGGTATTCCAGAAACAACTGTCTAAAGTGGCCATAGACGGACTGTAATTCACTTGGTTCAGCAGGGACTGGCTGAATTTTGATCCTTGTGTGGCCACTGCAGTTGAACAGAAGTCGATCTACCAATCAACTTCTGTTCAACTGCCCTTTCAAGTAAAAAGCTGCTTGATCAGCGGCTGCAGACAATAGCTGCAGCTCTGATCTGTGTATTCTGACAGTGGGGGAGTCTCATGACATTGAAAGCCGACAAAACTTCATAAATAGACCCCCTTATTGGCTAAACAGAATGACATATATTAAAAAAAAGATATTTGTGTGTGATAATATATAAGCACATTTTTCCAATCTTTATAGACCATATATACAATTTTCAGGAAAGGGGCTACGACTCACATGAATCCATTCTCCCGCTGGCACTTCTCTAGCGTAGTCTTCACCTGTGACCCCAGCTTCCTAAAGAACAAATGTCCGGAGGGTTTGGCTGTGGTTCCAGGGCCCTTTGTCTGCCCATAATCCTTACACAAAGCTTCTGCTTTACCGTAAACTGCAAATGACAAAAAAAAAAAGTATCCATAAGTAAACTAAAGGAGAAGCTGTAACCATAAAGTGGAACTCTGGGCAAAATAAAAAAATGACACATGATGCAGTCTGTTACTAGCATTAACACTGTAGATTTTTGTTTTCCTGAGTCCCCCTGTAACAAAATTTTATTAAGGAATCTTCAGCAACCAAAACACTACTGGAATTGTTGGATGCCTGCTCTTCCCTGCTGTAGAAATCAGCAGAGATGTAAAAGTTGTCAGCTTGAGGTACAGCGGTCAACAAAAAAACAGGCTCCTAACACTACCAAAATATTCTTCAAGCACTGTAGGTCTTCAAGACAGGTAAGATCTGCAGCCTTGGCTGCAGTACAGGAAAGTATTCATTTAGTGAATTTACTTTCCTTACAGACAGGGCTGTTTTTCTTTTTTTCTTTTTAATTCTAATAAAAAAATAACTTAAAGCTACAAAGTAGAACCTGAAAAACTATTAAAAACCAAACGAAAGAGCGTGACTACCACTCACTGGTAAGTCACGGTACTGCAGCATCCATTCATTTAATTTCTACTTTTGCAACCAAACTGAGATAACACTTAGGCTCCATGTACACTGCAGCTGATAAACTCACGTTTAGGAGCTTTTCTGCATTTTTTTTTCAGCAGCCCCTGAACTTTCCCTGTTTTCCTATGTGTCCATGTACACTATGTCGTTTACAGGCAGTTGAGTTTACAGTCGTTTTTCGCACCAAACTTGCATTCAGGAGTAGATTTTATCAGCGTTTCAAACGCCAAATGCTTGGAAACACTTGTAAACGTGCCTAACCGCGTTTATAAGCGTTTGGAAATTTTTTTCAACTCTTCCATTTCCAGATGCTGTCCAGAGCCTTTTTTCATCATGAAAAATGCATGCAAAGCGTTTTCCCCAGTACTCAAATGGACCTGGTACACCATACTTTGATGTTTCGCATGAAAAAAAATATGTTAGACACTGCTGCAATAATTTTTGCACAGAACTGAGCTGGAACACATCCAAACACAATAAAAAAAAAAAAAAAAAAAAAAAAAAAAAAAGGTAATCTCAACAAATACTGCTCTCTCTGCTTCTACTCTCTCTATTTCTCTCAAACAGTCTGAAATAGTTAATAATTTACCATTTTCCAGTGCATTCTGTGCATTGGGGAGGTTCTCCTGTGCTTATCTTTAAAAAACGCTTCTGAACGTAAAAGCTCATAAATGCGGCTAAACGCGCATAAACACGGTATGCAAACGCAGCAAAACTGACGTTTTTTTTTTAACCTGCGTTTTCCTGCTGTCAATTTCCAGCGTTCAGAAGAGTTCTCCAAACGCACCGTGTACATGGAGCCTCACTTTGTATTTGTTACACGTTTCCATTCACATAGCTTAAATATTTAAAAATTGCTGCTTACCTTTTTACTTGCTTACAAAATCTTACTCAACTTCCCTATTCTATGAAATGTTAAAAGATAAGTTCACCTCTAGGAACATGTTACATGTTCCACCTGTTTTTAGGAGGGAACATGAAACATGTTCCCTCTTGTACAGCCCTCCTCCCGATCCCCATCCTCAATGTGACAGTGGGTCGGGGATCTTCTGCCCGTACCCACAGCAACATTTTGAAATGAGCATAGCCGTGCAGTGCTCCGCCCACATGACCACATCATTCATTTACAGATTTTTGTCAATCAGTACTTACAGCCTTTGCAGCTGACAGCTTGTAGTTCTCAATGAACTACCATTGTGCTGGTGAGCATCTTTAAAGTTCATGGATTCTTCCTTGACTGAAGTAACTGTCTGCTCGTATCAAAAGGTACAAGCGGACAGCTACACAGAAGGCCTGCAGGAGCCTGACACTGTGCGCGCGATCTGTTGATCCCCAGTGCATTGCTTTACAGGCTTTAAAAAAAAAAAAAAAAAAAAATATATATATATATATATATATATATTATTATATATATATATATATATATATATTTATTATAGATGCATACTTTTTCCCCTAAAAAAAAAAGCGCATTTTTTTTAAGTGAGCTTATCCTTGTAACCCCTTCACGCCGTTGCCTCCCGGCCCCCTTTAAGCGTTTCAGAAGCTGGGAAGCGGGATTTAGGGTTCTGTGACCACCGTGACGCGCCATCACGGTGGTCACATGATCGGGAAAGATCCAGGTCGAAAGAGGAGAACGAGACCTTTACGTGAGTATTGGACATGTGTGCTGGGAGCATGCAGGGCGCGCGCTCTCAGCACATAGGAGGCCGCACATTTGCGTTCAGCCGGCGTGAAGAGGTTAAGGAGAGGGCAGAAAAGTTATGTTTACCATAATTTACCCAGTCTTTGCTGTGCTGGTAGATCTCAATACCAGTTGTACACTAGATGTGCACACAGTCTGTCCTAAGACATGGATAAGGATCTTAAGCCTTGAGTACTATATTGTATATTAGTGTGTTTAAAAAACATTCCCTAAGTCTGTCCCTGCACTGCAAGCTATTCTAAACAATAAAAGCTGCTTAAAAAGTCCTGTGTATATGTTTTCTATTGGTAATACATTTCCTATCTCTTTGTGTCTACACCCTCTCCTCCATGGTATCTGTGGCGGAACGGTTCCACCCGGGCTTCCTCCTGCGGAACGATGAGTCTCAGCCAATGGTCCCCTTGTCCTGCAAGTCTTCCAGCGCTTTGTCAAGGCAGGTATTAGAGCTCAAAACCAATCTTTCCCTGATATCCCAAACCACGAGTCTAAACTTGTTGTAGGGTGAAATGAATGACTCTTTATTGATCACAGCTCAGTATATACAGTTTTACCCCACCCACAACAAAACCCTACAACCAACAATACAGTATGAACTCTATAGAAAGGAAAGACTACAAGTTCACATTACCCTAAACAAACTGTGTAGAATGCCTGTCTACATAACAGCTGCTAAACATATAAAGCTTTACAAAGGGGAGAAAACAAACAGAAAGGGCAAAATGTTATCACAAAGGGACGGTTCGTCACAGTATCTATGAAAGAAGCCATGGCTGTCACACAGGCTGGATCTCAACTCTATGGGGACTGATGGGATAAGTAGTTTACACAATAAAGATAAGGATGTTTGTCCTTTCTTTTCAGATCACAGGAAATGACAAGAACATCACATTTTTAGCAAGATCAACACGTATTTTCTGTACTTGCTGAAAATGTTCTCAGCCTCGAAAATTAAAACAAATGCAGATGCCTCATTTAAGGACTGGTAAGATGTGATATATTACATTTTTGGTTCTGGTTTCAATAAACTTTAAAGAAAAAAGAAAAGATTTAGGGCTCTGGAAGCAAAGGCTGAAGGAAGACGGACATACAGGAGTGGGGATGGCCAAAAGCAGAGGCTAAAGAAACACCTGTTTCAGGCATTGTGCTGCAGGGGGGCATGGCTGAGACTAGGGCCTCTGCTGCCTCCACATTTCCAGAAGATCTTCTATACTGTGCTGTAATGTCAAAAAACAAACAGCAAAGGGGACAAATACTTTTTTCACAGCACTGCAAATCATTTTATAATGCAGGGGATGTGCACTACTCCATCAAACAGAGCCAATACGGAGAATACAAAGTCTGAATACTCACGCTTCTCAGCTTCCTGCAGGGACCTGATTGCCTCTCCACACTTGTCACTGGACAGCAATGTCTGACCGTGATAGCAGTATGCCTACAAAAGGATTTAAACTCATAAGGTCACAAAATTTACAATAGTCTGCAGATTCTTTTCACATATACATCTTTGGAGAACCTGTATCTGTGACACCACTTCCACAAAATAAAAAGATAAACTACTGGATTAAAATCTTGTTAAATGTAAAAAATAATTATTCTAATAAAAATAAAATTGAAGTGTTTATATCCTTACTTTTCCCATTAAGTCCTGAAACTCATAACATCCATCTGACTTCCCAACTTTTTTTTTTGTTCATGCAATCTATTTTTATCAACTTCCCAAATTAAAGTAGAAAAATTCAAATATCTTGGCACTTGCACTCTGGGATGGCTATCCTAATGTTCCCCACCTTTGGGTTTTACTACCTAGACGCACAATTGATACCTATACATGACTGGCTCTGGCCAACAAGAGCCAACACCTGAATGGCTATAGACCGGGGCGGACTGACCATTTGGAAACTCGGGCACTGCCCGAGGGGCCCGGGGTCAGTAGGGGGCCCCATGAGATGCCCCTGGTACCTTTTTCATAGGCTTTTTTGAGTTTGGGCAAGGACACAGGGGCCCCATGATCCCCTATTGCCCGGGGGGCCCATGAGTTCTCAGTCTGCCCCTGGTACAGACTATGACTTCATTTGAGTCCCTACATAATTCTGTACACTGGTATACAGTAGGTAGCTTACCATGCACTGATCTGATTTAAATTACACTGAAATTGCTTTGATAGGTCAACAAAATTTTTTGTGGGAGCCATTGGTCAGCCTCCCTTAATAACTGATATGGGGCAACCTATCTCCTCCTGAGTTTCTGTCAATTCTTATTGCAGAGCTCTGATCCTCTTTGGGTGTTACATTTATCCATCACCTTTTTGTGGACACAACACTAATGACAAGCTAATTTTCCAAATCACACAACTTTAGCTCACGTCACCTAACTCTACTATTTTTTTTTCTATCTGTTCCCTGTTCCCACTGGTGGTAGAGATTTCTCCTCATTTACTGCTCTGCCCAATTGACAGGAAGTGGAGAAATTTTCACTCACTCCCTGTTCTGTCTTACACTCACCAGAGCGAGAAATCTCTGAAATCGGGACAGCAATAAAAACCTAACAAAAGGTTCCAACACCTCTATATTCTATCCATATATAAATATTGGCATTAAACACCCCAATATTACCCATGGCACACATGTAGTATTATAATTTGAGAATACAACTGTTAACTATAGGAAATTGATGGGTCATTTGTAGATAATTAGTGAGAAGGACCAGCCTCAAATTTTTTTTTTTCCCCCACTTAAAAATTTTATAGATTTCATCAAAGAGGTGATACAGATTAAAAGAACCATTTAGAACTGCTGTAATTACATTTCTGAGCAGATGGCGTTCAGGTAACACGCTACAGTCGTATATACAGGATGCACACCAGTAAGAGATTGTGTGCATCCTGACCTGGGTATCAACCAAAACAAAGATAGAAAAAAAAAAGAAAGAAAAAAGAGCTACATAAGGTACATTGAAGCAATTCAAGTCAAGTATTATAATATAATCACAGATGGAGGTGATCAGATAGGTTTCACCACAGATATTCCGGTGACAGGCAGAAACTATGTGATGAGAGGGTCACTGGAGAGATCATTTAGCCAGGGCGCAGCCTCAAATTTTGATACTCACATAGGCCATATAAAAGCACATTTTCAGCTGGGTGTAGCTCCTCCACTTGGCAATATAAACTGGATCCAGGCTGGAGAGGGTGTGATCTGCAACCAATATAAAATATGATCACGCTCATACCACATCACATGCTGCATTGTCTGCTAGAATAAATGGATTATAAGCATTAATCATATCACATATAATAGCCACTGTTGTGTCCTATCTGATACCTTTTACTATATAACCTTCACTCAATTAGCAACATCTAGAATTTGACTGCCAAGCCAGGACTGGGCCAAGGTAGAGGCTTTAGTGGTACCCGCCACAAGCACTGTGCTGAGGGGAACAATGAGAGCCCCTTTTTCTGCTGCATCACTTGATCGTGACCTGCACTATGAAAGACTGAGCTGTCAAATGGGCAGCTTAGCCCTGCAGATTGCACTTAGAGAGCGTGTAATTAGTGGAGCTCCACTGTCAGTGTGACAGCCATCCATTGTATATCAGCAGCTCTAACACCGCTCATGATAGCCACAGTACAGCGATCAAGGTGACAGCAGAGTTCCACTGATTACACTGGGGGGCTGCTCTTCCTGTGCAATCTGCAATGCTGGACGGTCAGAATGAATGTTATTAGTTTCTGTGTTTTATCAAAATGTTTGCTCTTTATTAACCCTTATATTTACTTCTTTATCCCATTCTACATTTGCTAATTGTTTTTCTGTCTTTTTCTTCTCATTTTAGTGACTTGCAAAGGGGCATTTCATAATATAAAGGTTGCACTTTTGAAGAGTTTTAAATTATTTTAGTTCCCAGAAAGAACAATTAATTTTAATTACGATAATAATAATGCTTTAATATGCAAATTATCACTAAATCACATTGGGTTAACTACTCTTGGGCAGGTGGAAAATGGCTGTTGTTTTTACACCCTGCACTCACCCGACCCCTGTACAATGTAGGTGTACAAGCTCCATCTGTCTCAGCTTAAGGGAAGGGGAATGCCGGTGATCTTTAACATTTTTGCTTTGGATGCTAGAAGGCCTGTCCTAGCACTATACCATAGTGTATCTCAACTTCAGAGAAAAAAGTTAATGTGTGTAGAGAGGAAAACAGAACTCCAGTCAAGCAGGTAAATGCAATACTGAAATACCATATATTTATTCACACTGCTGATTCCTAGTCTAAAGAGACTACAAAACCTACAGTGTAGCAGAGGTGTGTATGTTTATAGAGCCAGTAAAACTACTTCAACATGCCTTTACAATTAGCTTCCAGTAATTCAGAGAAAACCTGGAGAGAGAGGGGAAGCACAGCAAGCCAATCAGACTTCATGGCATTGCAACGTCCTGTCATATTTATAACAAAGCTTTTTAACAGGGGAGAGCAATGGGAACAGCTTGGTGGCCTCATTGATGCACTGAGGCTGCTTTATTGTCCATGTAGCAGGCTGAGGATGATTAATATGTGTTTAACTAAAAAGGTGAAAACTATAGTTGCTTTCCCAGTAGGGGCAGAGGTGCCTGGATTACAAGACTGGCAGAACAGAATTACAAATTACAAATCCTTTGGCTGGTAAAGACAGCAGATGTACAGTATATGTATTCCAACTGATTAATTAGCCGTTTGCCTGGAGTTCAGCTTTAGGGCTTTTCTTATTAATCTGTTCATATACAAAGCAAGTGCAAAAATGAACTTACTGCTGCATATCTTTATGTATGTATTCAAGCAGAGTCTGGGCCTACCTCTACGGCAGGGCTGAGTTTCTGTTTATAGCCAATGAGCACATAGACAATGTTATTTATTCACAGTAACATTAAACTTACCAACTCTCTGATAGAAATTGGCAGTTTCCTGGGCCAAAGCGGCTATCAGACTTGGATTGTGCTTTAATTCAATGGCTCGAGCAATGGTCACTGTCCAAGGGAAAGGAAACAAACATAAATCATGATGGGTCAACAAGTCTAGTTGGCCATATATTAGCTTTGAACTGTGATACTTGATATTGCCTTTGAAGCCAAACTGAATTTGTGCAGAATGCTCTGAATAGGTTTCAGGGGCAGTAAAACAGTAACTGATCACCTGAGTAGAAAAGTTTGCTACACAGCAAGACCACTGCTCTCTGTATAGAAACAGAGGTGTCTCTGCAACAGTATGACATGTCCCTTGTGAATCAAGCTAGAGCCCTCTAATCAACAAAGGTCATGCCCCCTACTGATTGGAGAGCTCTAGTTCAGCAGGGGTGTGATGAACCGCTGCAGAGAGACCACTGCTTCTAAACAGAGAGCAAGGGTCCTTCTTTAGAGCATGACAGTACAGGACAGGCTACCATTGCTATGGTAAATTCAGACAAACCCACACATACGTACACACAGGAACAGATCAGTTGAATGCACTCTGTACCTTCTTGTGCTTCTGCCTGACACTGGGTGATATAAGCATCAATCACCCGACTCTCCAAATCCCGACCCTTTTCTGCTGGCGTAATAAGTTTTGGGATGTGACTTTCCTATACACACAAATAACACATTTGTGTTATGACATTCCATCTTACATCATGAACACAAAGAAAGCAAATGGTGTAATAAAAACCATGACCACTAAAGCAGAACAGCATCCATCTTACCTTCAAGTGCTTGAAAATGCCTGCTGCGACCTTCAGACTTTTGTGAACTGTTTTTGCCTCATCTTCTGTGATGCTGTAACAATGAAATTCACTAACATAATATCGAAACATAGCAGCAGTTTGTGCATTTAAACAAGAAGTGAAAGGTGGTTTATGGAAATAAAACAGTTTTAGATGTAATTATTTCAGCAGAGGTTAGAAAATCACGTCACGGTTATTCAGATCCTTTTGCTCTGCAGTGTCCATTGTCACCTACCTACCTCTAGGCTGCTCCCTGGACTATAAATGCCAATTCACTGCCCTAGTACCTCCCTCTTCCTATAAGCAGCTTAATGTATAACTAAATCCAAACCTTTTTTCTCATTCTGGATAGAAAAGAAATGGTTAAATCACTCAGTTTTTTTTTGCGAGCTGGGTCTCATTTAAAAGTTGCCCCTTCACTACCTGTCTGATAGATACAACAGGAAATGAGAAGAAATTTCTCCAGACTAAGATACACTATATTGCCAAAAGTATTGGGACGCCTGCCTTTACACGCACATGAACTTTAATGGCATCCCAGTCTTAGTCCGTAGGGTTCAGTATTGAGTTGGCCCGCCCTTTGCAGCTATAACAGCTTCAACTCTTCTGGGAAGGCCATCCACAAGGTTTAGGAGTGTGTCTATGGGAATGTTTGACTATTCTTCCAGAAGTGCATTTGTGAGGTCAGGCACTGATGTCGGACGAGAAGGCCTGGTCGCAGTCTCTGCTCTAATTCATCCCAAAGGTGTTCTATTGGGTTGAGACCAGGACTCTGTGCAGGCCAGTCAAGTTCCTCCACCCTAAACTTGCTCATCTATATCTTCATGGACCTTGATTTGTGCTCTGGTGCGCAGTCATGTTGGAACAGGAAGGGGCCATCCCCAAACTGTTCCCACAAAGTTGGGAGCATGAAATTGTCCAAAATGTCTCGGTATGCTGATGCCTTAAGAGTTCCCTTCACTGGAACTAAGGGGCCAAGCCCACCCCTGAAAAACAACTCACACCATAATCCCCCCTCCACCAAACTTTACACTTGGCACAATGCAATCAGCAAGTACTGTTCTTGCAACTGCCGAACCTAGACATGTCCATCAGATTGCAAGACAGAGAAGCGTGATTGGTCACTCCAGAGAACACGTCTCCACTGCTCTAAAGACCAGTGGTGGTGTGCTTTACACCACTGCATTCGACACTTTGCATTGCACTTGGTGATGTAAGGCTTGGATGCAGCTGCTCGGCCATGGAAACCCATTTTACGAAGCTCTCTACGCACTGTTGTTGTGCTAAGCTGAAGGCCACACAAAGTTTGGAGGTCTTTAGCTATTGACTCTGGAGACAGCTGGCGGCTTCTGCACATAGTGTGCTTCATCATGCACTGTCCTTTTACATGGCCTACCACTTCATGGCTGAGTTGTTGTAGTTCCCAGTTGCTTCCATTTTGTTATAATACCACTAACAGTTGACCGCAGAATATTTATTAGCAAAAAAATTTCACAGATGGACTTATTGCACAGGTGGCAACCTATCACGGTACCACGCTTGAATTCACTGAGCTCCTGACAGTGACCCATTCTTTCACAAATGTTTGTAGAAGCAGTCTACATGCCTAGGGGCTTGATTCTATACACCTGTGGCCATGGAGGGGATTGGAACACCTGAATCCAATGATATTATGGAGGGCTGGCCAAGTATTTTTAGCAATATAGTGTAAATCTCCTCTTGGACAGTTGTCACAGAAGCAAGCGTCCCCATTGGAAGATTTTTAGTTCAATACCTGTACCGGAGACAACTCAAAACCCTAGCTTTCAGCCTCAAGAAAATAGTCACAGGATGGGTAAAGCTCTCCAGCAGGGACATAGAATTCTATCCTCTCACCATTCTAGCCAAAAGAAAAAAAGTTTTGGATTTGGAACAACTTTAAACAAGTTTTAAGGGAGGCACATTAAAGGTCTATGCACAATGGCTTAAAAAAAACAAACAAAAAAAAACGCTGCTTCTACAGGAGTTTTGCGTTTTAACTGTAGAAGCAGCTCGATGTTATCCTATGTGTCCATGCACATTAGGACATTTAGAGGCACATTGTAAGCTCAGTGTTTAGTAGCAGAAGTATAAACCCTATGTTTTTCTTTTTTGAGAGCATTTTTCTGACAGAAAGAAATGTTAAATACGCCTACACGTTTGTACAAAAAGAAAAACGCTAAAAATTTGTGTTTTTTTCTAACAAGGGAACTGGCGTTTTTATGTCAGTGTGCATCAACCCTTAGGGCACATTGGTAACGTTAATCAAACACAAATGAGTACCTACAGCACCAGCTGCCAGCAAACATCCCCATCAGGGACTTCAAATGTCAGTCCATGTAAAATTCATACTCAGCTATAGGTAAAGCCTGGCGGCGAGTCAGCTTTTGACTTTTTATCTCCATTAGTGAGATTTCCATGCATTGATTATGAGCTCTGCTCCAGTCCACATTAGGATTCTTTGGGGAAGCATCCCCCCCTCCTTGGGGAGCACTACCCCCCCACACACACACACACCACCTTTGTGTGTTCTATCTCCTCCTGTTACCTTCCCCATATTATAATATAATTAAAAATCCACCGGGGATGGTGGGAGCCCCTCATAATGTGCACAAGTGTGCAGATCCAATAACTCAGCAGATACCACACCAATAGAGATCCTGAGAGACAGAATAGACTGTTAGGAGGTTTACCTCTCCAGAATCTACCAAATACCGAAATACTACTTTTGTATCATCATTCATTAATCTCCAATATATAATTTCCCAACCAGTACCGACATCCGTAAAAAAAAAAACTATTAGCTAACACAAAGCCTGCAAAGGAATGAAAAATCCACCATAAGTGGAGGATATAGACAAGCCCGGGTTTTGGAGTTGTAAAGGTCTGAACATAAGGTGTGATGTCATAACATCCCACAGTCTTTTAACCCCTCTAGCATGAAGGAACCCTTAATTTAGTTAACAAAGGCTTCCTGAGACCTGAAGGCTATTTTGTATATCTACAGCTCACGGTACCTTAGTGTAGTAGTCAGTGGGGAGAACAATTCTTACATTAGTGGTCAGTGGAGAGAATATCTTACATATAGTTAAAGTGATGGTAAAGCTTTTTTTTTATTACTGTGCAATGGTTTTTCACAAGGCAGCCCTGATCCTCTTCTTATTGGGTTCCCTGCCGATGCTCCAGGCTTCTCCTCTTCAGCCAGTGAAGCCTCTTCCTATGGGGGCACTCGTGCAGGGTTGCGCTTGAGCTCCGCTGCCTGTATCCATGGACACAGACAGCAATGATTGGCCCCACCTACTGCTTCCACTGCTATCGATCTACCCTGTGAGAAGGAACAGAGCGGAGAGAGCTGCTGCGCTCATGCACAGCTCCTGATGGGTAAGTATGAAGGGGGACAGGGGGGATCCCAGTAACAGAAGGTTTTTCCCTTAATGTACAGAATGCATTAAAGGTAAAAAAAATAAGGTTTTACAACCACTTTAAAAATATCACTGGTGCCAGCAGTTACATATCTGAGAGCAAAAATTTTCATTGCTCAAGAAACTTCTGAAGGAACCCTAGATGATGAAAGCTGCCATATCATCTTCTCAAGAAAAAAAAGCCATGATTACACTTTACATTTTGTCCCTAAGTATACTCACTCTTCCCTCCCAGCCTGCCGGGAGGAGCATATTTGGTATACCAGAGAGCCACGTTAAATGCCATGGAGATCAGCTCAAAGACGGCATCTTGCTGAGAACTGTAAAGAAGAATTTTCAGTGTCTGTTTTAGCAATGAAATGGCGTTGGCAAGCATAACATTTATTTAAAGTGTATCAATAACAAAAACTCAAAAACCTTTTTTTAGTTTTAAAGAGTGGGGAAATATTAGAGTGCCTGTCAGATTTAACTGCTATCCAATACTTCACTGTAAAGATTTCCCAAGATTTCCTTCTCCCCACACAACCATTTCACCAGGCAGGAAGTGAAGGAGACTCTCCAAAAGCAACACATACAGAAGCGAAAACTTTTTTTATTTCTTTTTTTTTTTAAGTTAAAGCGGAAATAAACTCCAATCCCTTATAGCCAAGGAAGCTGCTATCTTAGCCTTTGATCTGCAGTTGCCATGGTGCTACACATGTGATCAATGCTGACACCAGCCATTTGAAAGCTTAACTCACAGCACGAGCAACTGTGACAGCCATCGTTTACAGCATGCCCTGAATGTGACTGTTTTGGTAAACGTTAAATCAATGGGCTTAGTTCTGCTTTAAAGTGTTACTAAACCCAGGACCCTATATTCACTATATCTGGTCTCCCACAGTACACACAACATTGCAAATGCAATTATTTTAGTAACTATAAACTGCTAAATACCTTTTCAAATCAGCAGTTAGAGCAGTCTTGTAACTTCTATCAGTGTCTAGCTGAGCACTGGTTAAAGCTTGTAGGAGCAGTTTTCATTTTCCTCTGACTGTCCTATGAGGCTGCAGGATCACGTGCACCCTTCCAAAAGGAAAAAAAAAAAAAAACTCTCTAGCCATACTTACTAAACTAAGCATGTGCGGAGTGACTCCTAGAGCTCTCTTCTATCAGCAGATGGATTGGGGACAGTAGACGAAGGGGAGGATCAGGGAAGACAGGATCAAACATTCTTTTTTACACAATGCAGAGGATTAACTCCTTAGGTTCGGAACATGGCGGCACAGGAGAGCGGAGAATAGGAACTCTCCGATAGCCTCCCCCACCTATCCTCCCTAAAGTGTCCCGAGAGACTAGCTAGCTGAGTCGGAGGGCGGCTGGAGACTAACCGGGAGAGAGGGGAGATCCTGGCGGTGGTACGGCGGTCGGCCGGGGAGCGGAGAGTCGTGTCTGTCTTCCCCCATGAGGTCTGCCTGCGGTGATCCTGGAGAGAGAGTGTGGGGTTGCCGGGCGACGAGGAGGAGTGGCGTTACCACGTGGGCTGCCGCGGTGTACAGCTGGGAGAGGAAGAGACCGGCCGGCGTCCTAGGGGCAGGGGAAACGCCGACAGTGATAGCAGAGCTGTCTCCAGGGATTTCTCGGGGTACAGGGTATAAGCAGAGGAGGACAAAGAGACCCAAGGGAATTCCCTGGAAGAGGAGGACACGGCTGCAGGAGAAAGGACAACCCAGGACTGCAACTCGGAAGCTGCTCCATAGAGGAGGGTGAGTGAGAGCTGCTGGTCTCCCCAAGTGTTAGCTTCTCAGTCTGTGTTACTGACTATCTGATATCCAACATAAAGAATAAGAAGGGAATTCCCAGAGAGGGTCTGAAGAATGAAGTGACAGTTTAAGTATATACCCCAGAGCCTTGAAAAAGCTCTAAAAATCCTATATGTGACATGAAAGGAAAAAATAGTAAAGGAAATATGCCCAAGAACTCCCAAACTGGAACAATAAAAAAATACACGTCGCAAGGGAAATTAACTCCAGTAAAATCCCAGGAAATAAGCGATAGGAGTGAACTGGAAATAAGCTTAGATAATAGCTTAAGATCATCCCTGGGACCAGCTAACAATAGCCAACAAACACTGGAAAGTATGGAGTTGGGGAGAAACTGAAAAAGAACTGCAAATACCAAATAAAAAGGAAATGGCGGAGATGTTTAAAAACTTAGAAAATCCATAAAGCAAGAGATGGGGATAATTCGAAAAGAAATGGGACAGTTGTTAACTAGAGTGGAAGAAACGGAGGAAACAGTTAAATACCACACCCCAATTATCCCAAAATTAGAAAAACTGATAATAGATATTCGGAAGGAACAGAAAAGACTGCTTTATATGATGGAGGATCAAGAAAATAGGGACAGGAGAAATAACATTAGAATAAGAGGAGTCCCAGAGCTGCTACAGGGGGAAGACCTAAAGGAGACCACAGGAAAAATTTTGAACTCCATAATGGATAGATCTGGTGCGGAAATGTTTAAATTGGATGGAGTGTACAGGATAGGAAAGTTTCAACAAGAAAAAGGCCCAGAAAAACCAAGAGATATAATCGTTCAGTTCCATAATTATAGAGACAAGGATGAGTTATGGAAGAAGATTAAAGGAAGAACAAATATCAAATATGGAGGGAAAAATATTCAAATTTTTGCAGATATAGCAGCTGAGACACTGAGAAGAAAGAGATCATTGAAACCATTATTGGAACTGTTGAAGAAACAGAATGTGCAATATAGATGGGGTCGATCAGCATGTTTAATCGGTTGGAAAGATGGAGTCACAGCTTCTCTGAGATCCCCTGAAGATATGAAAGACTTTTGTAACAAATTTGAACTGCAGAGAATAGAGATACCGGGATGGGAAGAGGAGGAGAGAGAGAGTTATATATATGTTGGGAAAAGAGGAATGGCAGCTAGTTAGAAGAGAAAACAGAGAGCAAATAGATAGAGGGACACCGGGGAGGAGGGGGAAGGTGAGCGGCACATGGACGGAGCTGAGCCCCCAGATAGGAATCAAAAGTGGGACTTTTTCCACAAATGATTTATAGGCAAATAAAAAGCCTAACAGGGGTGAGGGGGCAGGGGGGAGGGGGTATTTAATGGGGGAGGGGAGGGAGGGAGGGGGAGGGAGAGAAGTGGGGTGGGACTGGGGATAGGGAGTTTTAAAACTGACATCTTGTATGAAAGAAGAGGTATAGGGAAGGGGAAGAGGAAAAGAAATGGTAAAATAGGAAGAAGACAAATAAAATATGGAGGACATACGCTTTGTAACCCATAATGTAAATGGATTAAATTGCCCGGGTAAAAGATTTAGACTATACAGGGAATTACAACATAGAGAGGCCTCAGTTGTCTTTTTGCAGGAAACACATCTAGAGTTAAAAAAAAAAATATTAAGCTAAAGTCTAGACAACATCCGACATGGTATTATGCAGATTCCCCAGTTAAGAGAGCTAAGGGAGTAGCTATAGGATTTGCAAAAAACATTAGGTTTGAATTGGAAGATAGAAAGACAGACCCGGAGGGGAGGTTTTTGTTTTTGAAGGGTAAATTACATGACATAGAATGTACGCTTGCAAACATATATTGCCCTAATAGGAAGCCAGAGATGTTTTTGAAAGGGGTTATGAGAAGATTGATGGACTTTGGAAAGGGATATCTAATAGTGGCGGGAGACTTTAACATATGTATGGATCCACAAATGGATACAACATCTGGAGTACAGAGAGGGGGAAATAGGTCCATGGGATTATTGAAAACGGTGATGAAAGAGTGCCAACTGGTGGATAGCTGGAGAATTGTCAACATGAGAGATAGAGATTATACTTTCTTCTCTAGTGTACATAGGACATACTCTAGATTGGACTATATTTTGGTGGACCATCGACTTGTTGAGGATTTGGTTAAAGTAGAAATAGAAGCAATAACTATCTCGGACCATGCACCTGTAGTAATGGAATTAAGATGGGGAGGGAAACTGTCAGGAGGCCTATCATGGAGGTTGAATGAGACACTCCTCATGGACCCAGATACTGACCGGAAGATCAGGGAGGAGATAGAGAGGTTCTTTGAGGAAAATGAAACAGGGGATGTATCACTAGCTACAGTGTGGGAGGCACATAAAGCATATGTAAGAGGAATCCTTATTGCGATTGGGGCAAAGAAAAAAAGGAAAGACGAGAGAAGATTAGTGGGCTTTTGAAGGAAATAGCCGAGATGGAACTCCTACATAAAAATAACATAAGGAAAGAGATAGAGCAAAAAGTGATAAAAAAGAGGGAAGAACTAGAGAAAGTAATGGAGGAAGAAAAAATGAGAACTTTTAATAAGATCATTGGTGAAAGATATAGATGGGGAGATAGACCAGGAAAATATCTGATGAGAGCCTTGAGGAGAAAGAAGAATAGGAACTATATAGATAAAATAAAAAACTCCAAGGGAGAGTTAGTCCATTCAACCAAAGATATTGCAAAGGTATTTAAAGATTACTACAGTAAATTATATAATATTGCCCCTAAGGATGTTATAAATAAAGATAAAATGATAAATATTGAAAAAAAGAAGGGATTATTTAAGAAACGCAGGATTACCAAAATTAAGTGAAGAACTATTAAACTCCTTAGAATCTGAAATCACACAGGAAGAACTAAAAATAGCATTAAAAAGCTTTAAGACGGGAAAAAGCCCAGGCCAGATGGATATACCGTGAGGTATTTTAAAAAATATAGTGATTTACTGTTACCTAAGTTAAAGAGATATATGGAGGAGTTGGGGGGAGAGATGGAGATAAGACAGGAATCCCTTCTGGCACAGGTGGTCTTAATACATAAGGAAGGTAAAGATATCACCCATTGTTCAAGTTATAGACCGATATCGCTATTGAACGTAGACACGAAGTTGTATGCAAAAGTATTGGCAAATAGGTTAAGAGATCTGATGCCAGATTGGATACATGGAGACCAGGTGGGCTTTGTTAGAGGAAGAGAGGGTCGAGATAATGGGTTGAGGTCCCTGATGCTTATACAGAAAAGTAAAACGGAAAAAAAATCCAGTAGTGCTGCTCTCGATCAATGCGGAGAAGGCGTTCGACAGGGTTAACTGGAGTTTTATGATGGACACACTGGAGGTCCTGGGATTGGGTAGTAGGATGAGAAAGTGGATTGGAAAGTTATATAAAGGACCGTCCGCGATGGTAATGGTAAATGGAGAGAGATCGGAGACCTTTTCTATGTCAAATGGAACTAGACAGGGATGCCCACTTTCTTTCCCCACTGCTGTTTGTTCTATCATTGGAACCCCTGTTATTAACAATTAGGAAAAATATAAATATAAAGGGAATAAATGTTGGAAAGACAGAACATAAGATAGCCGCTTTCGCGGACGATTTATTATTCTATGTTGGAAACCCGAGGATAACACTTCCTAACCTAATGAAAACACTGAAGGAATATGGGGAAATGTCAAATCTAAAAATTAACCCGAGCAAAACAGAGATATTAAATATAAATCTTCCAAAGAGTGAAAAAGAAAATATACAGAGAGAGTTTCCCTTTATATGGAAAGATAGAGAAATAAAGTACCTGGGAGTAAAACTTACTCCCTCACAGAAAAATCTTTATAAAGCTAATTATATCCCTATGTTAAATGAAATCAGAGAGGAATTGAGGAAAATGGGTGGAGGAAATCCTTCCTGGCTGGGTCGTATCAACCTGATAAAAATGGTAATTCTCCCTAAGATACTGTATAAATTCCAGATGATTCCCATTAATCTTCCAGAGGTGTATTTTAGGACAATTAAGCGAATGGTAACTAAATATATATGGAAAAATAAAAAACTAGGATATCATATGAAGTGCTAAGTAGAAATAAAGAAAAAGGGGGGTTGGGAGTACCGGACTTTAAAAGATACCATAGAGCAGTTATCTTAGCAAGAATTTTTGACTGGACACATAACTCAAAAAGTAAACATTGGGTCACAATTGAAAATACACTTAGTAGAAAGGATTTGGGTAGGAGTGTATGGGAGCCACCACAATTCAGAGAAATTAGAGGAGAGCACGAGTATATACACGAGGATTGTAATAAGGGAGTGGGATAAAATGCACAAACAGAAGAAATGGGAGTTTAATTCACTATTAATGTCACTAAGAAATTCAGATTTTTTCCCCCCAGGTAAAGAGGAAATTTCAGGTAGATGGATAATGAAGGAAGACACTCAGCTGAGAGATGTAATGGAGGGGGTAAACTTAAGAACACTGGAGGATTTGAAAAGGGAAGAGGGAAGGATTTTCACTAGGACAGATATATGGAGGTATAATCAATTAAAACAATTTGTGGAGAAATTGACGAAGCCCCTTAGAACTAGGAAAGAGTGGAATGAATTTGAGAAATTTTTAGAAGACCGAGGTGATGGGAAACACAGCACTGCTAAAGCATATAAAGCTCTCACGGATTTAGATAGTAAGTTTAAATTAAAGTATATAGAAAAATGGGAAAAGGATTTAGGAGTGGAGTGGGAAGAGCACACACTGAGGAAAATATATAGAATGGTACACGAAAATATTAGTATGCGTGAGGTGGAAATGAATTTTAAATGTTTGACAAGGTGGTATGTTACACCGGTGATAGAGCACAAAATGAGGGAGGAGAAGCAACCATGGTGTTGGCGAGGATGTGGAGGGTTGGGAACGATGTATCACATATGGTGGGAATGTCCAAAAATACAAATATATTGGGAAAAAGTTATAAATCAAATCACGATTATCACTGGATTGGAGATAGGATTGGACCCTGAAACCTGTCTTTTCCATAATTCAATATTATCTGGAAATAAATATAAAGAACTGGGTATATTGTGTTACCTAAATGCAGCAAAAAGTCTGATTCCTAAGTTTTGGCGTAAAGTTGAGGCACCGAGGGAAGAGGATTGGATGAATAGAGTGGACCAGATTGCTAGATTGGAAAAACTTTATTATATACAGGAAGATAGGATGGTGACATATCATATGAAATGGGAGAAATGGGAGGAGTTCAAAGTAAAGGTAAAGGAAGGTACTGAGTAAGTAAGCGTAAAGAAAAGGGAAAGAGAGGACAAGAAGAAAGCAGGGGAAAAAAGGGGGAAAGGATAAGGAAAAGGAGAAAATATAATAATTAGCCTTTCTCTCTTTCTTTTCCTTTTTCAAACCTCGGTAACCAGAGGATATGAGATACAAGTCGATCAGACAGATGTCAGGGGTATAATGTAGTGGGGTGGGAGGTGGGAGGGTTGAAAGAAAGGGAGGTATGGGGAGAAAATGTAAATGATACGAAATTAGTGTTTTATGAGAATTTGTAATGTTATATTTTCCATTATGGAAATGTGTATTGTTTTACTTGAAAAATGAATATTTAAATTAAAAAAAAAACTCCTTAGGTTCCACAGTAAGTATAACAAGAATGCCTTACTGCATATACAGACTGATTTTACACTTGTGGGTTTAGTAACACTTTAAGTAGAGAAATGCTAAAAACTTGACAGCTTGCCATTATGGTCTGTTCCTGTATTGCAGATTTTTCCCCTGACTTCCTGCCAGGCAAAAGGTTGACTCCAGAACAGGAACAGAGGCAAAAAACGGAGCTGTGGAAAGAAGTAAAAACTTGACAGGGCTTCCAATCCTTCCCCACCCTATCCAAAACTAAGCAAATATTTTGGCTATAGATCAACTTTAATAACAATTTATAATAATACATATGTCATAGCAATGTAGCGGCATGGCTAAACTCTTACAATTCATAGATCATTGGACAAGTGACAGTCAATTAGGTGAGAAACCTAAAATATGAAAACAATCCTCTAATAAGTTGTTATGGACCCAGCAGACACTTCTTACATGCCAAATATTGATGGAGTACCTCGGAACGTTGCCCTGCAGGGTGTCGGTCCACTTGAAGTTCTGGATGTATCGCAGCTTGTTGTCTTGTGTTCCACCATCCAGTGAATTAATAAAACCTAATATCCAGAAGGAAGACATCAGGCAATAAAATCAGTCACGAGCACTAAGTTGACTATTAACCCCAAGGCTGGCTTTACACTTGTGCGTTGTTGTAATGTACAGTAAAACAAGCAATTTACCGCATATTACTTCAAGGCTCACCAACACAAGGCACTCTGTGCAGTGCGCTGTGGTGCCAATCATTTCAACGCACATGTACAGTAGGCTCTGGTGTGCACTAAAGAAGAGCCAGGCATGAAGGGGGCCTAAAGAGTTAGCTCACATTTAAAAACATACCCTATGCAGTCCATGAACACTGTTCCATAATTCTAAACGCATCTGATTTTAAAAATATCCATTCATGCTCCTCCCATGCCATTCGAATATTTAAGCACGAAGAGAAGTCTACCACAATTGCTTCTGATATTTTTCACAGCTCCGTCTCTCAGTTTTCCCATCTCCAGAACGGACCAGCCATTGGGACGAGTGTTCCCTAGCGGTACAGGAACGAGCACCATCCTTCTGAGCCTCACACATGCACATTTCTCATTAGGGGTGTGGTACCAGTAAAACCTTGTTCACAAGGATATGGAGAGCAATTTTGTCTACATCAAACCAGGTACACGCGTACCTCGGTTTACGAACGCCTCGGTTAACATAATTTTTGGTTTACGAATGAAAATCCATTGAAAATAACACCTCGGTTTACAAATTTTTTTTCGCAATATTAACTGATTAATTGGTTTTCAATGCATTTACAATTTTTTTTTAATCATGTCCCTTTATGCCTTTAAAGTTCACTTTATAAAGAGTTTTAAACAGATAAAACTGTTTTTGACTTTTTTCTGACCTCCGGAACAGATTAATTGGTTTTCAATGCATTTACGAATTCATTTTTTTTAATCATTTCCCTTTATGCCTTTAATGTGCACTCTATAAAGAGTTTTGAACAGATAAAATACTTTTTTTTTTAACTTTTTTCTGACGTCCAGAACGGATTAATTGGTTTTCAATGCTTTTTGGTTTACAAATTTTTTGCAATACGTAAAGTCCCGCAGAACACATTAAATTCGTAAACCCCGTATATCTAATGCACAGCTCTATCTCTTGTTGCTGCAGATGACCTCAGCTACTGCAAGACTTTGCCTCCCATTGCCACCGCTAAACTTATCTGCTCAGCAGAGAGCACAATGTGCATGTTCAGGGTTTGGAAGAAGGACAGCACTCCCTGTACAGCTAGAGGATGCTAACCCTAAGCCCCAGTTCACACTATGAACTGCATGCGAATCGCACAGGAACTGCACCGTATTCCTGTGCATCTCACATGCGATTCATTTTGAATGGGCTCAAATTGCACCACATCACACCAAAGACATGCATGCACCTTTTTTGAAGCCAGAATGCAACCGGTCGTTTTGTACCACAAGATCTGCTGTGGGCAAACGCACTGCCTTTGTGACCTGCAGTTGGGGTGTCATTAAATTGGTACTGACACCCACAGCAGCTCGTAAGGGCAGTGCGATTGTAATGCAGTGCAGGAAATGTACAGGGATCGCAGGATTTCCCACACCACATAAGTGTGAACCTAGGCTAATGGCTAGCCCATCGTAGAGAGAGAAAAAGGACAGAGCTGTGAAAAATATCAGAAGCGTTTGGGGCAGGCTTTACTCCATGCACAAATGGCCTACAGGTATGGGAGGGGCATACAATTATATTCTAAAAATCAGATTATTTTTAAAATGCTGAAATAGTGTTTATACTGCACATTAATTGACAAACCGACTCATGTTACAAAAAACAACAGTACAGCAGTTTTGCTCCTCATGCCTTGTGTGCATGAAATAATGGCAACAGCTGAGGGTGGCACCTGATGCCACACTATGACACACCAATTAAATTGCAGAAAGGAGGATTTCCCATAACTTTTTATGCAGAAGACACAGTGGGTAACAAAGCATGCAAGGCAAGGGGGTTAAGCCCCCCGCCCCCTTAACAGATGTAGAGAGGGTTTAGCAGTTTTATACTTTAAGGTCCGAGTGGCCTAGCCAGTCTTCAGACCTTAATCCGATTGAAAATCTGTGGCGGGAGCTGAAAGTTCGAGTTGCCAAACATCAACCTCCAAACCTTAATGACTTTGAGAGGATCTGCCAAGAGGAGTGGGCCAAAATCCCTCCTAAGATGTGTGCAAACCTGGTGGCCAACTACAGGAAACGTCTGACCTCTGTGATTGCCAACAAGGGATTTGCCACCAAGTACTAAGTCATGTATTGTGAAGGGGATCAAATACTTATTTCCCTCATGAACATGCAAATCAGTGCAGAATTTGTTAGACATGCATTTCTTTTGAATTTTTTGTTGCCATTCTGTCTCTCAGTGTTACAAAACACCTACCATTTGATTTTTAGACTGATTATTTCTTTGTGAGTGGGCAAACATTCAAAATCAGTAGGGGATCAAATAATTGTTTCCTTCACTGTACATATATGTGTAAATGTGGGGCCTTTAACTCTTTTTATGCTCAAAAGGTCAATGAGGCCTAGATGCCCAAGCTAAATTTAGCAGAACCATCAAATGAACTCAACTCTCCACCTAAATACGTAGGTCATTTGGTACACGATCTTAATAAAATCCTGTTTCTTCTTTTAAGGCTGACAACTGGATATTTTTTTAATAAACTCTTAAATGTTTCATTCTATACTTGTATAAAGACCATTACAGTATTAAACAGAGGCACACTACCATCTATAGACTACACTGGTCCTTACAAGTGGAAACTTTTTTCTGAATGAAGCTTTTAGCTTGCACATGACCCTATGTTATAGCCATTTAGGGGTAAATAAAACAGGTAGTAACAATAAGGTGTGATGGCTTATAGCTGTCAAAGGTAGGACATATATTAACATATCCTTGGCACAGTGCATCACATTGAGGAATGTTATTATAGAGACCGTGGGCAGAGAGGAGATAATCCAGCAGTTACATACCGAGCAGCAAGGAGAAATAGGCATCTGCTGCATTCTTCATCATATCAGGGTTACAGGTGGCATCTGTGAAAAGTTCCAGCATACGTGCTCTTGTACTTCTGAGATCACTGCAGGGCAAGACAGAGGAAAACAGAAAGAAAACTGATAATGTTTCTAAAATTATTATTTTTTTAATTGAAAAAGGTATACGTATCTGCTCTGTGCAATGGTTTTGCACAGAGAGGCCCCAATACTCTTTTTCTGGGGTCCCCCACCAGCACTCCTGGCTCTAACCCCCCCAGCACTCCTGGCTCTAACCAAGTTGCCTATGGGGGCACTCGTGTGGGCTTGCTCCCGAACCATGCGTTGTGTGTTCATTGACACACAGCAAGGCTTGCCCCCACCCCCACTCTCTCCACAATGACTGTGATTATCAGCAGCAGGAGACAATGGCTGCTCCCTTAGTCTCTAGTAAGGAGAGAGAAGGAATGACGTTGCTCTCGAGCACGACGCTGGATCAAGCTTGGGCTCTAGTAAGTATAAGGGGGGCTGCACACACAAGGATTTTTTTTGCTTTTACTTAATACAGAGAATGCAAGGTAAAAAACCTTCTGCACTTAGAACCACTTTAAAGAGGAGCTCTACTCCAATGACCTGCTGATAACTCTGATATCAGCATACTCACACATTGTAAAAAAGCTGCTTCAACCTAATCTAATGGGAAGTCTTCTTCCATAGGGCCGCATATATGTGCTACTGTGATTGTGGTGGGAGTGCACTTGCACAGCATGCTCCCAGCCCAGAGATCGAGCTGTCACTGAAAGCTCCAGGTCTTGGTTCCCGATCACATAATCGATGTGATAGTCTGTGATTGACTATTGACTCTACAGCCCACTCCTGTGTTATATCTTTTTTTCTCCATTCAAGAGGAGAGACATTTCTTTTTCTTCTTGCTAGAGAGATTGTGAACAAAAGAAATATGTGTGTGTAAAAAAAAATATAATAAACCTGAAATAGCTAGAGCAGGGTTTGATCTAGGTCAGGGTTAGGGTCAAAGTTCAAGGTCAAAGGTTGGGGTCAGTGCGCTTTAGGTAGGATTAAAAACTATTGTTTCTGGGCCCTACTACAGGCGCAAACAACAAGTGAAGTAACAAATATTTTTTGGGCCAGTTTTCAGTTGATAGCTTAAAGGAGATCAGGAGATATCATTACCATTTACCAGCAAATGAAAGCCCAATTTGTCCTGAAAAAAATAAATAGTATAATTCACCTGGATACATTAAGTAGTTGTGATGATATGTACAGTTTTACTAACATATGCCAAGGTTGCAAAACTGGATTCAGTTGTTAAGATTTGTTTTACTCTGACATGAAGCTGTTAAGAAAAGCAAATCAGGCCAGCAGGCTGTGCAGTGTGGCAGAGCTGTGTAAATCTCATGACTGGCATGACCCAGCTGTAAAATCTTTGGCAAGTAAACAGCTGCCATATGTGTATTTCAATGGTTTCTGGAGCTGTTTGCCTGAAGTTCAGATACAAAAGACCAAATCAAATGGTTAGCACTTCCACCTGGCAGTACTAGGGTCATAGGTTCGAATCTCAACCACGGCACCACCTGCCTGGAGTTTGCACGTTCTCCCTGTGCCTGCGCGGATTTCCTCCAGGTACTCCGGTTTCCTCCCACACTCCAAAGACATGCTGGCAGGCTAATTTGCTCCTGTCTAAATTGGCCCTAGTATGTGTATGTGAGTTAGGGACCTTAGATTGTACACCCCTTGAGGGTTAGGGACTGATGTGAATGTACAATATATATATGTGAAGCACTGTGTAAATTGATGGCGCTATATAAGTACCTGTAATAAATAAATGAAAAACTGACAGAATCTTCTAACATACCTCATCTATGAGCATGTCTTCATAAAATCGTACCTGCATATCTTTGATGCTGCTTGGGTGGAAGCCACTCCATAGAAGTTAAAGGACACCGGAGCAGTTGCCTTTAAGGGGTTACGGTGAAACCAGTGAGTCATGCTGATGGAATATTTTCTTTACCGGCTCTGTATCTCCTGTGGGGAGTGAAAACGTTTGTCAAAAACGATTGTTGTTTGAGATACAACCACAGAGTTTTATGCCAAGAGGTATGGTCAAAGGGCCCCAACATGGGGAAAATATGAAGAAAATCTCACAAGTGAGACACCATTTTTCACATTTAATTCAGCATACAGTGTATTTAAAGCAGTATAATACCTAAGAGCAAATGTTATATTGCAGCTTACTAATTCTTAGAGATCGGATTGCTGCATTCATTTTTTTAAGGCTTTTTTCTTCTACTTTCATCTGGTGATCCAGCCAGTAAATCTGTTGTTTTTCAAAAGAAAACTCTCTTCCAGATGTATCATTTTACAAAAATGAGACAAACCGTTTACCACTGACAGGCGTGCTTACAATGATCAGCTTTTATTAATTTATGTTTGCTGCAAATGATTATAAATTGTTAGCTGGAGCCTGGCTTCGATTTGTTCGTGTATTTAAATCTGCTAATACAATAAACACTTCCCTACGCCCAGACTGACAATGCGATCTGCTGTGACCCCTGTGCTCCTTCACCCAGAGTGGTGGCACTCTAATACAGCAGGTATGTTATTGGCCAAATCATCAGGTGAAAACAGAGGGAAAAAGCCTAAAAAAAGAAAACTAATGCATCCACCACATCTAATGATTGGTAAGCGGCAATATATTACAATTTTGGATTTAGGTTTAATACCGCTCTAAAGCCCTAACGTCCTTATGCTTTGGATAGTGTGGGGAAAGGTTAAAACCCCTGTCTTTTTTTTTTTGCCTGTAGGAGAGGGGATTTCCGTAGCTTTCCATCTTAAAGAAAACAACAGGAATCTTTGTATTTGATTGTATATTATATTATGATTATCATATGATGTTATTAACTACATCATCACTACTATATTTAATTCTAGTTTGTGTATAACAAGATCCAAGGCCCCGAGGAAGCGGTTCTTCCGAGAAACGCGTCAGTCATTCTAAACTATGATCCTGTGTTCAGATACATGGTTACATTTCAAGCCATATTATTGATTTTTTGCTTTATTGTAGTCATACATATATCACACAACAATTGCTTTTATGAATTGTTATACTTGTTGATGTCATACCCAAGGAGGTACATTTAGAGTCCCAAATGCCAATTACTGTATCCATATTCAATATATAGGAATGGTACCTCCAGAGGGAACATCAACCCCAGATTTACCCTCCACATATGTTCTTTAAAATTTTAAGAAGCCACAGGAAGTGGAAGAAATCATTAAGTACAAGTCTTCCCTTTACTTCCTGTTCCAGTGACAACTGCATTTAACATCACCTTCTGTCACAGGGGCAATGGACACAAGGACAAACAAATCTTTGCTGACAGCGGTCACCAGAACAAGTGTCCTCACTGGAAGATTTCTTCTCTATTCCTGTTCTAGAGAAGACCCAACATTTTGGGGGCTCTGGACTAGGCTGCAACATACTGCTTGGAATAAAGGTTAGGCGAGACGATTTGCTGACTTTAGCACAGCCGCCATCTTTTCTGCATATCATTAGAATTCACTGAGCAATCTGGCATGCCGATGGGAGTTATTATTTATCATATCACATTTTGCTGCTCCCACTCCTATCTCAGATCCTAATCACATTCAGAAATATTCAGCATGAAAACTGAAGAGACACACACTGCTACGGAAAATTCTATCATCCCATTGTCGGTGAAGGGCGTTTGCTCTACAGTGGGCAGGAGTGACGACGATGTTCGGAGCTCACACTCCATCTACATGGACGTACAATGTCAATACTGTGTTTCCTGGCCTTTTGTTCCTTGGGAAAATAATTCTAATATTACAGACAAAGATCCATTGAGAACAGCAGACATTTACCCCTTCTGGGCCTGTGGGTTTTTTTTTTAGGACAAAATCATTCTGGTTAAAGACGTTATTTTTTATTTCCTTTACATTTTATCTTCCTATTAGATGCTACAAACCACTTGAGTACAGTGTAGCAGTCCATATCTCCATCCCTTAACAGAGGAAGAGTGCAAAGCATCACCACTTTGTCAAGACGTCAAAGATAAATGAGAGTACTTACCAGTTGGAATTTAAAGTGAATATAAAAAAAAAAAAAAAAAAAGTACAAAATTTTATTTACCTTAAAGCGGAGCTCCAACCAAATGGGGAAGGCTTTAAGGCCTCGTCCCCTGCTCCCCTTTAAGGAGTGGCACCTTTGGGGAGGAGGGGGGAGCAGGTACCAGATTTTGACAGGTACCTGCTCCCATTTCTGCTGAAACCGCCTAGGCCAGTGGTCTCCAAACCACGGCCCGGGGGCCACATGTGGCCCTTTGCTTGCCTTTATCTGGCCCTTGAGGCACTATTTCATCCACTGATACCAGCAATCAGGCATAATTCCTTCCCCCCTTACACCAATGAAGGGGGCACAACGGCTTCCAATGACACCAGTAATGGGGCACAAATCCTCCCAATAACACCAATGATGGGGCACAATTCCTCCCAATAACACCAATGATGGGGCACAATTCCTCCCAATAACACCAATGATGGGGCACAATTCCTCTGACTAACACAAAAAATAGGGCATTATTTTTTATCACTGATGTCGGGACCTTTTCTACTCCCACTGGCCACAATCCGGCCCTCCTAAAGTCTAAAGGACAGTAAACTGGCCCTTTGTTTAGAACGTTTGGAGACCCCTGGTCTAGGCGATTGGAAGCGGAAGTTGTCCTCCCCCCGACCCGCAGTCTTCTGGGACATGTGACAGGTCCCAGAAGACTATGGGAGCATTCACAAAGCATAGTGCTACTCCCGCATAAGCAGCGGGCACCCGGCTGTATGGCAACAAGCTGCAGTCAGGTGCCCACACTTAAGATGCCGGGGAGAGAGGACAGCCAGTGAAACCAGTTGCAATGAGGACACCGCTGGATCGAGGAACAGGTGAGTGTCTTCTTTTTTTTTTTTAAAGTCAGCAGCTACAGTTTTTTTTTTAATGTTTTGACTGCAGCTCCACTTTAATGCGTTCTGTGCTTTAAAGGTGACAAAAAACCTTCTGCATGCAGCTTCCCCCCAGCCCCCCATAAAGACATACCTGATACCAATCTTGTTTCAGCAATGTGTATGAAAACTCTCTCCGTCCTCACTAGACAATCACAGCCAGTGACGAAACAGCAGGGGGCAGGGCCTCCCGACGCTCAGTGTGTCAATGGACACACAAAGCCAACTCATGAGTGAGTACACATAAGTGTCCCCAGAGCAAGCGGCTTGATATGGGGGCAATCAGCAGGGGGAGGAGCCAGGAGCAACGGCGGGTGACCCAAGAAGAGGAGGGTCAGGGCAGGTAAGTATAACATGTTTTGTTATTACAAAAAAATTCACTTTAGAATCTCTTCAAAGCATAAAGCCCACAGACAGATTAAAGTGTATGTAAAGCAATGACCTTCTTTTATTTGTTCCCTTCTGCTTTATTAAATATACTCTTGAAATCTTTTATTTATATCTGTCTGATAAGTGCAAATAAATACTTGTTGATCCTGCCAGAAATCTTTCAAGCTGGTAAGTTCCTGTCCTGTCTGTCTCTGCCGTTATCAGTTATCTCTGTGGACCACAGAACACCTCCCCATCTGTTACGGAGATGAGAAGGGGGTGTTCTGTAGTACGGAATGAAAACACCACTATGCCACAAATACAGTTCAGCAAGTGAATGGCACCACCCTAGGACAGAAAGTGTGTTACTGGCAGGATCACCAGGTTAAAAATAATGAAACAGCCACCACATCTAAAAGGAATGCTAACCTGCAATATATTTCATTTTTGTTTTGGATATAAATAAGATTCAAGGCAGAATGGGGCCCTAGCAAGATAGATAGAGGGGCCCTAGCAAGATGGAGCTCTGCCACCGCGGCAGATAGATTCGTAGTTTCAGTGGACTATGAGAGCGGTAATCAGCACACTTGTAGTCCATGGACACTTCCTCCAGCTTTGTAAATGAAAGCCTGTACAGAGGTACCGGCTGAGAGCTGGAGAAGAGTGTGCAGGACCCTATCCACTGATCACAGGTACAATGCTTTGTAGGCTCCTGGAGGGAATTATAAATGCACATTTTTTCCTGCAAAGATATGTGCATTTATTTATGAACGTAGACTTTATAGTTGATAGGCTTGTTTACACCTCTGGCAGTCTTTGAAAAGTGATCCATGGCAGATCGCTTTTCAGAGAATGATACAGGATCAGCTGAAAGGCATTCAGTAGGTGATCCTCCACCTCCTGAATTACTATTTTTTTTTTTGCCAGCCAAATGGGGGTTTTGAATGGATATACCCGAGCTAGTGTTTGGTTCATGGTTGCGGCATGGCCCTATTCACTTCAATAGACCACATCTGACAGCGGTACTGCCCACCCAATCGATAGGGTGTATAGTTTTTTCAGCATGTGCACAACCCTGTCTATCCTCTGTGCTAGGTTAATGGGGGCTGTCAGAGGCGGTAAAATCACAGCTTAGCTGTATTTTTACTGCCATCTGACTGCACGTGTGAATGATGCCTAAAGAAAGCTGCAGATTTAGAAAGGACTTTAAAAATCATATTAACGTTGAAGATTTGAGACGGGGTTTAGATCCATTCAACACATATTTAACAAACTGCTATCAAGAAATTGCAGCATTTGAACCCCCCTTCTTCAATCCCACCTTATACACTGTGTGTGTCAGACAGGGGCGGACTGACCATTTGGAAACTCGGGCACTGCACGAGGGCCCGGGGTCAGTAGGGACCCCATGAGATGCCCCTGGTACCTTTTTCATAGGCTTTTTTGAGTTTGGGCTAGGACACAGGGGCCCCATGATCCCCTATTGCCCGGGGGCCCCATGAGTTGTCAGTCCGCCCCTGACCTGTAGGGTGCACTTGTCTCAATTCAGAGCACTAAGAGGTTGATTTACTAAAGGCAAATAGTCTGTGCACTGCAAGTTTAGTTGC